GGTATAAAGCCATCTTCACTATTAGACAAAGAACTCAGTTTGAACTAAAAACGAAAGAAGACTCAGAGAACTGAAGATCCAGTATACTGCAGGATTCTTACACACTTTTTTCCCCAAAATAAAGTTCTTAATAACTGAAGCTATAAAATATTTTCAAAAGTACTTTATTCTTATTGCTAATGTTTTTAGGACAAATGAGAAACTAAGAGAATACTGGAATTCACCTATGTTAATTTTAATTAAATATTTTCTGCTTCTGCCATAATAGACACACATTTAAATTGGACAGAAAAAAATATCACCAAAAAAATGAGAAGAAAATTAAGATAATGTTGTGGTATATCACATAACTGAAAATTTAAACACATGCCTCTTGAATTTTAAGTCAGAGTTATAGATGACCTACAAATTGCTTATGGGCTAGTGGTGGTAGCTAGGTTGGAATGACAGAATTAATTTTATATTAAAGTTCAGTCCATTCCACAGTGGCAATAGCAGCAGCAGCACTAATATATTTACCCTGGCAACTTCCGACTTGAAAACTGTATTTGTGGTTTGAGATGTGATCCAAAGCCAAAAGCCACACTGAGTTACTGGCTGAAGGGGAAGTGTTTATAAAACTTTAAAGGAAACTTGTATTTAGATAAAACACTAGAACTTTTCAGCAAGCATTAGGTTCTACCTGGTTTTCCTGATCTTCAGAGAAGTCAATGAGTTCATCTTCAAGCATTTTACCACCTTCAGGTGATTCATCACCACAGTTTATGCTGATTTTCCTTAAGCTATCTGTATCAAAAAGAAATATTATATAATAAAAAAAGGCCATGCCCAGAACTCATTATTGAAATTAATGCTAGTAATTAATTGATACAGTAGTTAAAAGTAGAAAATCTGCTTTAGTATGTAATATCACAGATATAAGTAAATTACTTTAGCTAAAATCTTAGGTTAACATGTCAATTATACAGCTGTTTCTACTATTCAGGCACTAAAATTCATTAAAATTTAAAAACTGGACGGGACGTGGTGGCTCATGCCTATAATCCTAGCACTCAGGGAAGCTGGGTGGAAGGACTGCCTGAGCTCAGGAATTCAAGACCAATCTAAGCAAGAGCAAGACCCTCATTTTTACTAAAACAGAAAAATCAGCTGGGCTGGGTGTAGTAGTTTCCCTCCTGTAATCCTAGTGCTCTGGGAGGCCAAGGTGGGTGGATTACCTGAGCTCACAGATTCAAGACCAGCTTGAGCAAAAGCAAGACCCTATCTCTAAAAACAGTTGGGAGTTGTGGAGGGCACCTGTAGTCCAGTTACTCAGGAGGCTGAGGCCAGAGAATTGCTTGAGCCCAGGAGTTTCAGGTTAGTATGAGCTATGATGCCACAGCACTCTACTGAGGGCAACAAAGTGAGCTCTGTCTCAAAAAAGAAAAAAAAAAAAAAAGAAATAAAATGAAATTTAACTAGGTGCTGTGGTGGGCACCTATAGTCCCAGCTACTTGGGAAGCTGAGGCAAGAGGATCCTTTGAGCCCAAGTTTGAGGTGGTTGTGAGCTATGATGTCATGGCACTCTACCCCCCCCCCAAAATAAATTAATTGGGTGGTGCGTGTGGCTCAGTAAGTAGGGCACCAGCCCCACATACCGAGGGTGGTGGGTTCAAACACAGCCCCGGCCAAACTACAACAAAAAAATAGCTGAGTGCTATGGCAGGCACCTGTAGGCCCAGCTACTCAGGAGGCTGAGGCAAGAGAATCACCTAAACCCAAGAGCTAGCGGTTGCTGTGAGCTGTGACACTACCATACTCTACTGAGGGCACCTAAGAGAGACTCTGTCTTA